CCTGGCGCACCACGCCACCAGCCCCGCGGCGCTGCAGGGCCAGGTCTCCAGCCTGTCCCACCTGAACTCCTCGGGCTCGGACTATGGCACCATGTCCTGCTCCACCTTGCTATATGGTCGGACCTGGTGAGAGGACTCTAGGCCGCGCCTAGCCCAGCACACAGCCTCATTGCTTCCCCTCCTGCCCGCCATACACACCAAGTACCCGGCTCTCCTAGCCTAGCGCTTCGGCTTTTCTAAAGAACCTGTCCGGTTTAGACCAAGGGAAAAAAACACAAAGACCAAACTGCTGGATGTCTTTCTTCTCTCTCTCTCTCTCTCTCTCTCTCAAATTTGTGGGATTTTTTTTAAAAAAAAAGAAAATAAAAATAACCAAGGGAATCCAATCCTTTAAGGAACCTTTAAACAGAGAAGGACATAACAAGAACAACTTTCCAGGTGTCTTTTAGGTGGTTCAAATGGTTTCCCACGCTCGGGCAGGGCATCCTCTATGCTGACATGGCTCCGGACTCTAAAGATCACAAACTTCACTCTGGGTTCACTGTGCCAGCCAGCATAGTGGACTCACTTGTAAATACCAAGATTTCTTTGAAGGGGAGATGGGGGCTGGGGAGAGGAAGGACACTTCCACAGAACCCACTCGTCACTGACACAAAGGAAATGCCCCCTCCCGCAACCTTCGGCTGCCCGGCTCAGCCCGCTGGCCCTGGCGAAAACTGTTTCATGTTTGATGTGAACCTGTAGCTGTAAAATGCTGTCAAAAGTTGGACTAAATGCCTAGTTTTTAGTACTATGTACATTTTATTGTAAAAAACAAAACTAAACAAAACAGTCCCGGTCCCACCCCCAGCCCATCATTTTTTTTTATGGGCACTGACAAATCTGTGTATATTATTTGGCAGTTTTGGTATTTGAAGCGTCAGTCTTTTTCTGTTGTAACTTATGTAGATACCTGACTTAAATATAGTTCCTAAGAAGCTTCTAATAAATTATACAAATTAAAAAGGTTCCTTTTCTGATTAAAAACCCACCTTTTGTTTGGTTTTGATTTGGCTTTAAATGGCATTTTTGGTTGGAGGGGGCGGTCATCATTGGCCTGAATGGATTTGAATTGTTTAGGGTCTCAAAGGATCCGAACCAGCTAAGGAGTCCTGGCCTTCTGCCTCCGAATTGAGTAGAACCAAAACTTGAGCGGTCCGGTCCTGAGACTTGGCAATAAAGAGGAGAAGAGCTAAACTATTTCCTTCAGGGGGGAAAGGGAGGAAGGAAGAGAACTAGACCAAAGGACTAGTTTTCAGAACCAGGCTTCTGTTTTTTGAAAGTATCTACTATGGTCTTATACAGCTAAGTCAATTACCCTGAATGAGCAATTATTTTTACTGAACCGGTTGCCCCTGTAGATTTCTGCATCAATCTTTTATTTCTAACTCGCAGCCTAGTCTCCTTGGAATTAGAATTTGGTGGGAGGTTGTTCTCGAAAGTGGAAAAGTCTGTTACCAGTTCCGCTTCTACTCTGAAATGGCTATCCCCATCCAAGGTTGGCCACAGATCCCTGCTTTTCCAGGCCTCTCCGGCCTCGGGAGGTGTCCTGGCCCTGGGAGGTGTCCAACTGGGCTGCTGGCCTGGGGACACCCTCCTTCCCTCCCCACAGGACTTTGGGAGCTGGGTTTTCCTCTTTGTTCTACTGGTTTCTATCTCTGGGCTCCTAAATCTTATTTTTCACTTATTCCCAACTCTCTGTCTCTCCCTGACCAACCTACCCCCAGCAAAAAAATTGAAATATTTAATGTTTCCTCCTTCCTCTTATTTCCTGGTTTCTTTGGTGCCCAGATGTGGCTATTGGGGAACTCTCAGGGTTACCTGGGGAGGAGAGGAGAAAGTAGTGGTTCTGTATAGAGAAATCATAATACCAGGATGGGCTGGTGTCCCTTCCTCATCAAACCCTGATAAACCTGCAAGGAAACCTGGCGAGTGGGCTGCCTGCAGATGCCCCTCCTAGCACTTTTTCCTAGGCCTGGAAGTGTTTGATTGTGGGGGATTGATTTATATTTATCATGTACTCACTTCTTGTCTAGAATTTCAACTTTTCCCTTTTTGCTCTCCCTTCCCCATCATTTCTTCCTCTCTTCACTTCATTGAATCGTCACTTGAATTTCAACTTTTCCCTTTTTGCTCTCCCTTCCCCATTTCTTCCTCTCTTCACTTCATTGAATCGTCACTCCTCTTCTTGACTTCCACCCTCACCCCTCAGGAACTTTTGAGGGAAGTCCTCAGGCCTCAGGCCTTTTCCCATTACTGCAGTCCTCTTGGTCGACTTCCTCGGGCTTCTGCTTCTCTCCGGTGGTGCCTTGGGACTGGGACCAGGATGGGCTTCCTCCCCTTGGATTCTGGCTGCTTGCGATCTGCTTCCATATCCTGAAAAGACTTGGGGATTTAGAAAGGATGATCGGTTGGGTCTAGGGAGTGTGCTAATTGGGGGAAATTTCAGCAGGTCTCACCTTTTGGAAAACAAGCAAACATCCAGGACCGGATGTTTATACACGTGTGTTGGGAGGGGCAGCAGTAGTCCTGGACAGGGTGTGTAAGTGGTCAAGCCGCCCAGCTCAGGGCCGGGAGATGTTTGGCACCTAAGGTCCCAATTCCGTGGGTGTGGGAGCTTCTGTTCAACATGGCCAGTGCTCAGCAACAAGCCTGGTGGGGGACAAGATGGGCAGTGCCCGGCCAATGGCCAGAGCCGCTGCCATCCCTGCCCTATGCTAGCCGAGAGCAGGTTTCTGACAGTCACAATTTTAATGGGCTGTGGTACTCTCAGCAGTGGATGGAGTTTCTATGGAATGCATTCTTCATCCGTTTGGCTGGAAAGCCAATTTAGTTTGAAGTCTGTTTATTTGTCCCGGGAAAGGGTAAATTCAATGGGTCTGCGGATGGGACGCAGACAATAGGACCTTGGGTCCACCAGCTCCCGCTCCTGGCCAGGAGATTGTGGCTGCAGGAAGCAGGTTTGGAAAGCAATTTGAAGCCTTTGATAGGGAAGTAGGTGCAAGCTCAGTGTAGCCAAAAACGCATCATGGAGACACCCTCTGCCCCCCACATCACCCCCTGCAAAGGCCTGGAGTGGACCTCCTCTAGGACTCCAGTACCTCTCGCCTGGGTCAGTTCTGGCCTCCCCCGAGGGACGCATCAGCCTTCTGAGGACGCTCCTGGCGCTGACATGCCTGGAAGAGCCCAAGGCTTCCCCAAGCGTGGCGGCAGCGCAATTCGCCTCGAGATCCAGGCGACGCTGCTGAGCGCCCCCCTCCCCCCCAAGCACCCTAGGCCCTGACGCTTGGGAGAGTGGAGGGATTTTGCAGACAGCATTCCCCCTTTCCTCCTCTCCCCCACCCCCACCCTGCCCTGTGAACAAGAGGACTTCCTCGAGAGCCCTGGAGAGAGGCTCTAGTGGCTCGGGGCCTGAAGCCCCAGGCTTGGCTTGTTTGATGTTGAGCATCCCGGAGCGGCTTCCCACCCCCCGCTCCAGCCTGGGAACCCGGATCTGTTGGTCAGAGAGGCAGGACAGCAGCCCTCTCAGCTGGCAGGGCCCGGGGCTGGGGGCCGAGCCGGCTTCCGGGGAAGCCAGAAGAGCGGGGCACAGACGCTCTGAGCCGGTAGAAGAGAGCCTGGGCTGCGGCCGCCCGCAACAGGGGCCAGAGCAGGTACAGCCGAGTCCTCGAGGCCAGGAAGCGGGTGAGGGGCCGGACTGCCTCAGCGGCCCGCAGCGGCTCTGGGAGGTGGCTGGCCCGGTGGGAAGTAGCCGGCTTAAGATTCCCCCGAGTGCAGTCAGAGCCAGGCCACAGGCCACGCCGCTGGAAGCGCTCAGGACACGGACTCCTGGAGGCGGGGAGGCCCGCGAGCTCCAGTCCAAGAGCCGCGGGAGGCAGCTCTTCTTCCCACGGCTTGGGGATTGGCCTTTCAAAGAGGACGACCTGCTCGGGAGCCTTCGAAGGGATTGTCAGTCCTCCCGGGGCTGGGCGAGGCCTAGGTCTGGCAGCGAGGTCTGCGATTTTGAACCCAGAGAGGAATTCTCAGACTTTAGAGGCCGCGACGCTCTCCCGGCGCGCCCCCCGGGCCTGTGCGCGCCGGCGAGGGGCTGTCTCCCGGCGCGAGGGCACCAAAGGTAGCGCGAGTCTCTTCCCAGGCGACCCAAGCGAGATAAGAGGAAATGAGAGCGGGGTGTTCTGACTTCCACCTCATTAGGGATCAGGTAAGGTCAATGCTTTCTCTATTATGTCTTTATCTTAAAAGCGGGTCAATTTAAGATAAAGGAAAAAAAGCCCAGGATCTGTGTGAACTGTGCTGATAAAAACTGACCCCTTTTCTGAACTAAAAGCAAGCCAGGCAGACCATTCATTTTCTATAAACAAGAGAGTTGTGAGAAGCTGCTGTGAATTCTGATCGAATGTCTTCTCTCTCCAGACATCGCCCCCCCCCCTTAGCGGGGGAGCAGAGTGCGCAGCGAAGTTATTTGTGGAGAACTAGAAAGCCTGCTGGGAAATGTGAATCTGAGATTAAATGGCTCCTAGGCATGGTTTGCTGATTTGTTTGTTTCAAATTCGGCTTTCTTTTAGAATGGAAGGAAAATGACCGACTCGAGTACTGAGAGGCATGAAGCTGAATTTTCCTTGCTCAGCCAGGAGAGCCTGGGCACCGCCTTCCTCTGGCTCTCCCTACCTTCTTGGTTGGTGTGTTTGTGGTTGTGCAATTGTATTTTTGCAGCTTCAGGCCACCCTCTGTGGGGCCATTTAGGCCTCCTGCCTCAACTTCGAGTTCAGAAATTTTTCTGGCGCCTCTTTGGCCAGTAGCTTCTGGAAGGAGTGTCCTTATCCCGAGTCACCGTCTGCAGTGAGCTTGTCCACCCCAGGGCCTGGAGGAATTGGGTATGGATGGGAGTAAAGATTGTTTTATTGAAGGGGAGGTCCAGGGTCCGCATGCCTCCTCCCCGGTGTAAATGTGTTTCTGAACTTTTCCCGATGATTCTCAGAGGAACGGAGGAGAAGCAGGCTGTGCTGGAGCCCCCGAAGCCATGGCTGAAGTGGCTGGCTGCACTTCCCACTGACAGTGACCTAATGCCCTACTTGGAGGGCATCTAGGAATGGCCCCAGGCTCCTCATATGATAATGTTTCCCATTTGGCCTCTGCTTCTTAAACACGTCCTGTCTTTGTTATTTATGAATTGTAACAGTATTGGGAAGCATAAGGTTCAAATCCATTTTCCCGTTTTATTTCTTTTTAGCTACTTG